TTATATTGCTTTGGTCCCCTAAATGGTATAGCATCAAGGTAGCAGAGGGTTGGATTCAAGTTTTCCTTCTTCTAGGTGGATAGCCAGCCAAGGCTTTCATCTCATTTCTATGAGATAATGTGGAAATTAAGTTAAAAAAAAGTTCCTCTTTCAGACAATCAATATAGTACAATCTATAGTACAGATGATGTTAAGGTCATCTATTTCTTTGGCCATTGGTTACCAAGCAGGGTATCATGTGGCCATCACAAAGACTAACCCCTTTTACTTTCCCAACTAAAGTCAGGTACCCATTAGAGTTTGGTGGATTCAGGGGTGCCCTAAAAATCCAGAAATACAAAATCCCAGTCTTCACTAAGATTTGAACCTAGGACCCCGGTTCAGAAACCAAGCGCTTAACCACTTGGCCAACGCGCCTTGGGAAATTGCTTTGCTATAAAAATTGCTTTGAACTTATCTTATTTTCAAACTGATTGTACTTTTAATTGTAACTCAGTAATACTCCTAGTGTAAAGTATGTATCAAGTGTTTTTTTTATATAGTAGTTGATTGTAGTATTTTTTTTGGTAATAGTCATACTGTTTGAAAGTGAAGGAGATGGATGATGAGGAATACAGTTATGCTGCTTTGCAGGAACCTCTCTACAGGGTAGAGACTGGAAACTATGAGTACAGGTAAGTCTAAGTACCATAACCCCAACAGTGTTATGAGAGTGACATTTTCTTTCCTCTTAGTTCTGTCCCAAACGTCCTGCAAGAAAATGAAAACCTGCAAAGTTTTTAATTGTTAAGCTGTTTGAGAAACAGATAAAGAGAACTGAAAGTGATGAGGGGTTTGAAGACATATTTATAATAGTCTTATCCTTATTATTAATGAATCAGTTTAAGTTAAATAAAAAAAAGCAACAAAATCCACAATATTGACATTAAATTTGATTTTCAAATAATGCATAAGTCTGTTGTTTTTTTTAAATTCCAAAAGACCTTTTCAGACTTTATTATGAGACATTGTCATTGTCATGTTCTGATAAAGTACTGTACTGGAGTAAATGTTTCCTTACATTTTTTTTAAAAGACAATACCTCCATTATTAAACTTAAAATATTTACAAAAAATTAAATAAAAAAATGTTTGGTTCAAAAAGGGTATCGAACCTGTGATTTTGACACCATCAGATGCTTGAACCGTGACCTTGAAAGAACAATGTTACAGATTTGGACAGTGGACAATGCACACTTGTGCTATTATTTATTGGTATTTTCATTATATTTTATGGACATCTAGATCTAACACCAGACCTACATTGCTGATTTAGAAAAAAATTAAGATCTAGTCTAGATCTCGATCTACTTCTAGATCTAGAATTTATATGTAATCTGTATTAGATTAAAAAAAAAAGTAAAAAAATATAAACAAAGCTTAGATAATCTTTGTATACATTTTGTAAATGACTTTAAAATGATTATTGACATGTTTTCGTTGGAACTCATCAGGCTGATCCTCCGATGTAGACAAGAGGCCAGGTCAAGATTTGCCAAGATGAGATCTGATGTCCTTGTGAAAATGGAATTGCTTGATCAAAAACATGGTATTTTGTTTGACATTTATCAGAGGAGCTAGCTTAATGTAAATGTGGGAAATGAAAGTATTTGAATCTCTGTGAAGTCTTGGATTTTCTCATTTCTGGATTTTTTGGGCACTGAACTCTAATGGGTACCTAACATTAGTAGGGAAAAGTAAAGGTGGTTGGCTAATGTGCTAGCAATATGACACGCTCATAAACCATGGCAATATAAAAAGAGGACGTTTACATTATCTGCCCTATAGATCAATAGTTTGTCCTTTTCTCTATTTGTTCTACAACGAAGAACATTCTGCTTTACGATATTCACTCTCATAAGAGTCGGTGACATTGTGAAAATCTGTACAGTTTACAATGGGATGGTTTTATCAAAGAATCACTGGATAATTTTAAGCCAATAAGTATTATTATTATTATTGTGTAATAGCATTGTGTCATTAAAAGCAAGACTCATACTTACTCTTTAGTTGTGTTAATGTTAATTCAAAAATATTCTGAAGAAACAAACCTTTTTTTTTTCCACATTATTTCACATTTTAATTAAAATTCACCAATTGAAAACTGTGATGCATTACATAAATATATTGCAATTGTAACAATCAATAAAAGTTGACCAAAGTTAGAAGCCATATTTTTTTTTAATTAAGAATTGGGAACAAATTCAAAATGTCATCTGCCTCATGTTAAATGAATCAATGAATAACATTGAAATGAATTAATTTTTTTAAATGATTTATCTGAGCTCTCTTAAAATGTTTTTCTAAAGGATAATTTCATTATGATGAGACATCTTTGTGAAAAGTAAAAAAACTTGGCTAAAATAAAAAACACTATCACAGAAGTGTAGGGAGAATACCCCCCCCCCCCCCCCCCCGTGCGCCAACTTGGAGGGGGCCCGAAATGAGTTTTTTTTACATAAAATATTAAATATTATGCAAAATGCAGGGACCCCCAAAGAGGTCAAGCCTCCCGGGCCCCCAAATGATGGCAAATTCTTAGCTAAGCCACTGCACTATCATTGTTTATATAAATACTGATATCTTACATTTTTTAAACATAAACATTTTCCCTTTTTTTTGTGCCTTGAGTCATTATGACATTGTTCCCTTTTTTTTTCTTGTGATATATAATTGCTTAAACTCATTTTCTTGTTTTGTGGTTCACAGTCCAGGACATTGTCTTCCAGCTTCAAAAGTTTGTCACTGCCATGGCCAAATATCACACAGACTGCCATGACGTCATGAAGGGTGCTGTTGTGTTCCCCATCGAGGTGGATCTGTCGCGAGGGACATTCACCTACGAGAGTGCAAACAACTTTAATGATGGTGGAGATGATGAAGAGGAGGAGGATGATGATGAGGAGATGATTGGGCAGCACCATCCAGGTGCCCAGGGTGGAGTACTGACTGGAGACCTCTTGGGAGATTGATTCTGTAATCTTCAAACATTTCTAATTCTATTAGTGTTACATTTTTTAAAGGATATATTAAATTATTCATCGGCATCAGTTTATATAAAGGGTAGCTCTGATGTTTGATTTGTGGTCCATGAGCCAATACTTGTATAGAGCATCTCATCTCCTGTGTCCCAGATCCAAATAATGTGTTACGGAAAAATAAAGTAGAGTTTAGATTTTTTTAATGTATGAATTTATATTCAATACAAATCTAAGTTTGTGTTTGTCAAATTAATGCCATGAATTTATGTTTGGCTTTCATGGTTTCAGTAACATGGCAATGTGTACCAAATAAACTGGATTTCATATTAAATTTTGTATTAAAATTACATAATTACACACTGAGTGCTCTAAATATTGCTATGTATTGTTATATTTTTATTTGTGATGCAAACCTAAAATTGTGAACTTTTTGTTTCTGATGTCTGACCTCCAGAAAAGGAGTTTCTGTGATATGTGTTACTTTATCTCTTGCATTTGAGTTTTAAATTTTTTATTTTAAACTTCATTTTTGACAAATGTGTTCAGTACAATTTATTTTTCATGTCTAGCTATAGATTTAACATACTTATAAAGATCTTATTTAAAAAATTTTTTAAAAATTTTTTTTATAATGATCTGATTCTTGTGAAAAGGGCTCCTTTTTTGTTTAATGAATATTTTACAATTAAATTCTTGGTTGGTGTTCCTAAGGACCAAGTCCATTGCACTGGCGAGGATGAAAGAAAGCCTCAACATGTCATTGTCCACACACTGTTCCTCTAGGGGCTATTTTATGGTGGATACCTTCATGGCTGATGTGCTACAAAGAAGGATTATTGAGGAGTTTTCCTGGTGTGATTGGCCTCGCTTCTAACCCGAGCATCTTGGGATATGAGCCATCGGTAATAGGGATGTAATAATTTACATCTGCTTGGATCTATCTAACACAGACTTTGTTCAGACAGGCAGATGAAGGCAAAGCTTTTATAGGCCTAGAATTCTAGGAGTCACAAAGCAGAAAAGGAGAGGGGATAAAGGGTAGTTTTATTTTTTTGTTGGGAGACTCAGGAGATCCCTAAGGTACCAAACATAGCCTGAATCTTGAGCCCAACAAGCTCTTCCACTTTCTAGAAGCGTTGATATTAAACATAGCCTTGAGGTTTCTGGATTGGTCTACAAAATGATTCCTTTTAAAAAAACTGTATATTTTTTAAACCATTTTAATTTATCTTGATTTTGTCAGTCATTCCAAATGTTGTGTCTGTTTATACATTTTTAGTTTAATTTCCTTGTCATTCCTATGATTAAGACATTCTAAATAATTGTGCAATAGCTATGTTTATAGTCTATTTCAATTTTATGTAATGTAAATAAAACCCTTACTGTAACTAATTAGTGTTTATTAATGTTATATATTTGTAGAATTCTACCCAATTTGTATAGGGACTATCAAAAAAGTTTGACTGGCTTAAACCAAAAAGGGAGCAGACTGACTCTAGCGCTAGTGATGTAGTAATTGAACATGTCCAGCGCCAACCCCCCAGAGAATTAGTATTTAATATGATACACTCCCTTTGAACTAAATGTCTGAATCCCTGCTTTTTATCAACTTACAGTAGGCCTACCAAGTTCAACCACAGTTGAGAGGGATATGACTTTCTTCTTACCTGTGTAAATCTTGTTATAATAAAGGTTTGTATTTTCCCCCATAAATATCAACACACAATGTAATTTAGGCATGATGTTATGTTAAGTCGCCCTCCCACATCCTAGAAGCTTTAATATCAAACATAGCCTGAATCTCGAGCCCAACGATATCGAACCAAATAGGGCCATTGAAACCACATCCCTCTTTTTTAATAAAAATTCTAATAAAATTCTTAAAAAAAATTCCAACGGTTCTTTTAGTTTTTGAGTTGTATCACAAAAAGACAACTAGCAGCTTTTTCTCTTGCCACAAATGAATAAATAAATAATTGCTGTTCAGGAAAATAATTCATTTTATTTTGTTCATATGTTAATGAAGACAATACAATTTTAGCATTTAAGTAGACATAAGCAAATGTGTGGCATGATTCACATAGAAATAGTTGAATCAAGCAGAATCATGTAACTAAACATACAGAGTGTAATGGTTTAAAACACACATATTGAACGTTCACCTCCTTCAACAATTCAATACACAAGGACCTTGAACTTGAAAGTTGATAAATGACAAACAGCAATGTTGAAACTCATACCTGTACCCTCATTCTAAACATTTTGAAACAGTTCAATTATGTTGACTTGCTTTACCAGCATTATTGTAATATACCTAGTTTAATGAAACTTTTAACAAAGTATTTATAGATAAACTGATTTTAAATAAGACTAAATTGAAATGGTAATTTTAAGAAAATAAAGACGGGGCCAAGAGTAAATTAAAATTAGCACATAAAAAGCTTTGCAAACAGTGATTTTAAAAATAAGAATGTGCTGGTATTATTTACAAATTATTTTTTTTTTCCAAATCTTTCATCATGCTAAGTTCAAAACCTATGCGATGATTAAAAAACAAAGCATATAAACAAATATCATGGCACCTACAATACAAAGAAATTTGCAATTCAGAAGTAGCCTTTCAATCTCACACCTTGATGCTCATTTCAAAATATCACAAAAACAACAAATGAGAGAAAAAAAGAAAAAAAAAATTTTACCATCAATGTAAACAATTCTAATTCTAGTAAATTAACTTTAAAAAAAACAACTGGTTAAGGCATTTTCTAAAATGTAAAACTATTTTATAACAATAATATTGTCTGTGCCCATGAGAGAATGCCACTTTCTGATGACTTAATCTATGTAATCATAATCATTAGTGACACTATTACACATACTCACACACAGTCTCTTCCACAAGATTTTAAGACAGCAGTTTTAGAGAAGCAACATTTTCAACTGTAAAAAATGCAGACACAAACCCTAACAATTACATCTAGTAACTGAATATAATTAGAGTAACAATGAAATTAAATATCATCTACCTTATTGTTTGTAAAACCAAACAAATACAAAATGTGTTAAATTACTGAACAAAAATAGGTGCAGTGCCCAAGCACTTGGCTTCCAAACTAGAGGGTTCAGGGTTTGAATCCTGGTGAAGACTGCACTTCTAAGTGATGATAATAAGGCAGCCCAGAAAATCCACAGATTTTTACATCCAATGTATTTTTCAGCCAATTTCAGAGGCCCAGATTCTTATTTTTTATTTAGCTGCATGCGTCATTAGTCTACTTATAATTTCATAATTCTAATAATACAATAATATGTCAATATAGTTAGTCATGAAATTTTAAATTTGGTTTTACTCTGGTTGTGGGATGGGAAAACCCAGGGAGTGGCTCAAGGAGCCTATCTTACAACAATGGATGAGATTAAATCATCTAGTTGATGGGGATATTAACAGAGTGATCGGTGAAGAGCCATCTCAACTCCTGGCCTCTGGGTAACATCCTTACTGCTGGTGAAGGATCAAAATAGGATGCAACCTAGACACTCACTAAGGTTATAAAATAAAAATTCAGTTGTCACAAACTATTCATTAAACAGAAGTCGACTTTTTAAAAAAAATGTAAGTGCTGTTATCATTGAACATTGTTGATTAAAAGAATGCTAAACTTTTTACATTTGCAGAGTCTTTCTCCTTAAACAAAGTAAGTAACATGAAAAGAACAAAAGACTCGTCAGGAAGAAAAAAAACAAACTTTAACATGCCTGTAACAATAAAATTGAAACCTTGTAGTTTATGGCGAAGATGCAAAACTCATTTGTCTATGCATCTAAAATTTGATAAGTGTGTGATGTGGCTACTTTTTTTTTTTTAAAATTACATTAAAAAAACAATAACAAGAACTTGATAGAAATAAAGCTTTTTTTTTCTATTAATTTGTTTTTCCCAAGGGGAATATAACCTTGCGAGGTTTCACCCATATGAACTTCAATTGGTGTAGAGTGTCACCAGAAAATGCCTTGTCATCCAAAGCTGAAATCGAGAGGCTTGAATAGATACTGGTCCCCAAACACCCTAGAGAAGACAACTAGCTGGAGAACTGCCTGGGTCAGGAAGCCACACTTACTAGTTATCTGAACCTTCGTAAAAGATAATGAGAAAGCAGAAAAAAGAAGAGCTTTTCCTAAGTGACAATATGTATGAAAATGTAAGAGTTTTTTTAACTCACTGAGCAAGCTCAAGGGTTACATCAGATATTATCCACATTATAACAACTTCAAGACAGGCTACAAATAAAATTGATGCAAAGCACAGCAGTATGATTTGGAAAAACAAAAGAAATAGATAAGTGATAACACAAAAAATACAAAGTTTCAGGAGGTCCTTCTGAAATTATGTGACTAACAGACTTTTACAAGTTCTAAAATAGCTGAGCTGCCCATTGCATACTGCAAATATATGTGTCAAAATTCATAAAAGCCATTTCTTACACTCATTTTTCATTGGAACACTACATGAACAAAGAAAACTATTCTGAGAGTCAACCAACACAGCCACAGATATTTGTCAATGTTGTCTAATGTACCAGTAATTCATTTGGGTACTTAAGTTTGTACTCAAAACTATTTACAGTAGAAAAAAAGTCTACAAACTGAAAAAGCTTTGTTGAATAGTGTTTAAAAAAAAAACATTACAAAGAACAGTTCTTAGTTTAATAAATATTAATATAAAATGTTAAAACGACAAAAGATTATTTAACAAGCATAATTAGTATACAGTCTTTGTTGTGTAAACAGGAATGATAGAAGAGCAAACTGAGATGGTCAGACTGTGCACAGCCTTCCCATCAAGCTCTTGATAAGTTCTCAGGTTCACTCCCATGAAAGTTGTCTGCTCATCTACCATTTCTGTTAATACAATTCTCTTTGTTTGTCACTTCACTCTGATACATCATGTTTTTAAAGTGAAAACAAAACTAGTTGTAATAAATAATGATGATATAATTCAAGCAGATGGTTGAAGGTGATAACAAAAAAAAAACAAAATGTCTACAAACAGAAAGACAAGCATGAAAATAATCAAATATCATGAAAACAAAACAAACAAAAAAATAAAACAGCCAATTTAAAAAAAAAAAAATCTGCAAGAAATTGCATTTAACGATATTAAAAGGCTTGGAATAAAATGTTTGTATAAAAAAAAAAAAAGGTTTTGAAATATTGGTTAGGATTCTTTTTTGTCATTCATGTTATCATCTACATATTCTATTGCACATTTCCTGGGGAACCATCCTCTTAGTCTTTTGCCAGCTGAAAATGAAAAAAAAATGTTTAAAGCTAAATGTCAGTCAAGAGTTGTAAAAAAATAAAAAGGTTTTGAAAATTTTTTTTGTAAGACATAAATATATTCTAGTTCTATAACACAAGGCCAAACATATCTATAGCAGGTCTGTGGCTAATCCCTGGTAACATTTATTTTGACCAACTGTTTACTAAGTACCCAACAAATAGATATTTGTAATAGCTAGTTGCACACATGTGTTTATACAGGTTTTCAGTTTAACTCTCTATCTCAATTAGGTATAAGCAGCTCAACTGTCTATTACTCAACCACATCCTCCTACTTCAAATAATAATTATACAAGTTTCTCAATCGGAGATCTACAATTCCATTGGTTTGGTAAAGTGATAACAGTTGCTTTTTTTTTTTAAAGCTCTTATCAGATAAATGATCATTTGATTTTCCTAAATGAAAGTAAAACTAGATTATAAGAGCCTAATGCAGCTGTTATATATCTTGCAGAGTTTGAATATTAAGTTGTGCAGTATTTCACCCATCTACACCTAGCAATAGGTTTCATTACAATTATTCAGGCATATTTTGTCAAAATTATTAACACATTGTGAAATATTACGGAGTTACGCGCTCTTGACAAGATGGCTACTCCCTGTTTACAGTTATCATAGATGAGTTAAATTTTCATTTTGTCGTATTAAAACCAAACAAAATTCCTTAGAAAAGCTATTCAACTAATAAACTAATATCTTTAAATTATAGATTTAACTTAGTTCAGCATTATTTCCACTAATTAATTCAAATTCTTACTTTAGGACTATTTTGTCTCACTAATCCTTATAATTATATATATATTATTTAGGCTATATTTATTATTATATCCTTAGATTTTAGATCTAGTCAGTCTTAGACTTAGATTTTAATTAAGGCTTTAGATCTACTAATCATCTACTAAAATAACTAATAGTAATATTCTATATAGTTAGTTAAACACATAAATATATTGATCTAGAATTATATCTGGATCTAGTCTAGGTCTATATTTTGAATAAACCATTTGATTGTCATTGTAAATTAGCTTTCACTTTAGACTTAGACTTGACTTAGGCCGTCTTAGGCATTTTTAACCTTAAACTAGATTTAGACTAGACCTTTAAAAACTAAAATCAACAATAGTCATCATGAAATTGCTCTGGCTATTTATCTTAATAATTACTAAATACACACTAGCTGAACACAGAACTAGATCTACCTCAATCAACACTAAACTTAAAAAGGAAAAAACAGTCATAATCAATCATCACACTTTAGATCAATGCAACTTCAAAAATAACCTAACATACACATCCATAACATTAAAGAAGATTACCCATCACAAATGGAAGTTCTCAATCAGACACAGTAGAAATAAATACCTATCACAGTTAATATTAATAGCAGGAGATGTAGAGTCAAATCCAGGGCCTAGATCTAAAGATAGATGCAACATCTGCAAAAAAGTATGCACCATGAAACAGAAAGCCATTCAATGTGACACCTGCGATGAATGGTACCATGCATTATGTCTCCATATGAATACACCTGTTTATTATGCCTTAGGCAACAAAGACGCATCATGGCACTGTGTACCATGTGGGTTACCTCAGTTTACATCAGGACTGTTTGATTCCTTTGATGCGGACACTTCTAACCCATACAACATCCTAAACACCATCCCAAAACCAACTCACCAACCACTAGCCAGATCCACTCCTGTTAAACCTAAATCTACTAAAATTAATACAACAGCCTCACTAAACAAACCTACTAAAGAAGTAATACCAAAATACCTTAAAACCTTAGTAATAAATTTTCAAAGCATTAGGAACAAAAAAGAAGACTTAGAAATTTTATTAGAACGTGAGAAACCAGACATAATTGCAGGAACAGAAACTTGGCTACATCCTGAAATTTATAATGCAGAAATTTTCAATAGTAATTATGAAATTTTTAGAAATGATAGGGCTGAATAAAAAGCACTCTTATAGCAGAAGAAATTACCTTGCCTAACTCAAAAAATATAGAATCTACATTTTGTAAAATTAATACCACCTCAACATCCCTAATAATAGGCAGCATTTACAGACCACCAAATTCTAGTTTAGAATACATGCAGGAACTATGTAATCAGATTACTACACTTAAAGAGACATATAAAAATGCAGTTTTTTGGATTATGGGTGATTTCAACCTACCTGATATAAATTGGAAAACACTAACCATAGATAAACACCAAAACCTTAAGGACATAAATGAGCTTTTCATAGAAACTTTACACAACCTAAGTTTAGATCAAATCATTAAAAAGCCAACTAGATTAAACAACACATTAGATCTCTTCTTAACCAACAGACCTGGATTAGTAGTTGATTATGATATTATCCCTGGTCTATCAGACCATGAGATCATAAAAATACACAGTCAGATAAAAGCAGTAGCCAATTCAAAACCCAAAAGAAAAATCTTACTCTGGAATAAATGTAACCTAACACAACTACACCAAACTGCATTAAACTTTCAACAAAAATTCTTATTAGAAAAAGACATTAACCAACCAGTCGATGACCTCTGGAATTTCATTAAAAACCATCTTAAAAACATTATAGAAAATCATATACCAACTAAATACACATCAAACAAAATAAATAAATGCTGGTTTAATAATAGACTAGAGAAGCTTTGTAAACAGAAGGAAAACCTATATAGAAAATTTAAAGAAACCAAGGCAGAAAGAGTTTACAAAAAGTATATAAAAATTAAACACCTAACCCAAAAAGTAAGCAGACAGCTGCAGAGTGAATACATAAACAATGTAATATCTAAAGATA